TCCTCCTCCTCCTCCTCCTCCTCCTCCTCCTCCTCCTCCTCCTCCTCCTCTAGCCGTGTAAGAAAGCCTTCGCAGAGTTCCTCGAGAAGTTTCCGCCGCCGTCAGAGCCGGGCCCGTCCGCAGAGGCGTTGCAGGCCGTCGTTCCCTGCTGCCGGCTGAACAAGGCGTATGACGACACTGTGAAAAAGCTATACTTCCGTTTGAGCGGCCCCGGCCACGAGGAGATGGAGGCACACGTCTGCGCCGCGATCGCTGCCATCTACACGAAGAAGCAGGCCAAACGCATGTACGGCCAGGCACCCAAGGGCTCGCTCGAGAAGCGGGCGCAGGAGCTCCTGACCCAGCTTGGAATGGACAAGCAGTGATTCCAGCCGCGTCTGACATCTCAGGCATGACAGAATCATTTGTATGTTCCAAGAATGCTGCGCCCCCCTCCGCTGCTTGCCTGCCTTCTCCTCGCCTTCCTCGCCTCTCTTCCGCGGCTGCTGCTGTTGCCCGTCGTTCCCCCCCTCCTGCTGTCGTCCCCCTTTCGTCCTCGTCGTTGCTGGGGCGTGGCAAGAAGCAGTGTTTTTAACAACACGTATCCGTATCTTCCATGTGCACGCACACGCGTCATTCCATGTTTCGTTCCAGAGTGAGCGGCCAGCCCGCCCCGCATGGCGGCCTCCGGCGAGTCCGCCGCAGCGGCGCGGGCGCAGTCGGCAGCTGGCCGGGCCCTCTCTTCCCCCTCTTCCCTCTTTTTTCGCCCCGTTTCCCCCTCCACCTCCTTCCTCCCCTGGCAGGCTGCGAGGCGTCCATCAAAGTGTGGTTATTTGTAATAGCCAGGTCTGCCTGAGATTCTCGCCGGACAGAGGATCACGCTGCGCAGAGGAGCCGAGCCGAGCCTCCTCCTCCTCCTCCTCCTCCTCCCTCCCTCCTCCTCCCCCCTCCTCCTCCTCCTCCTCCTCCTCCTCCCTCCTCCTCCGCCTCCTCCTCCTCCTCCTCCTCCTCCTCCTCCTCCTCCTCCTCCTCCTGCCTCCTGCTCCATCGAGGGCACCTTCTTCTCCGAGCTGACCCCGCCCCCGCCCCGTCCCTCCGCGGCGCGCTGGCGACGGGCTGCCCTCGTCCACCCAGGCCGCGCTCAGCGCCAGCACCGGGGGCCGCGCGGCCCGCGCGGGCGCGGAGGGCCGCGGCACAGCGGCCCGGAGCGCCTGCTGCAGCAGCTCGGCCTGCGCGTCGAAGTGCCTCCGCAGCTCGGCGGTCTGGGCCTTCAGCACGTTGCCCAGGTCGGACCGCAGCTCCTGCACCGAGCCCTCCAGCCGCGAGACGCCCTGCTGGACCCGCCAGAGCGACTCCTGCAGCAGCGAGGACTCGGGGTTCGGGGCTCAAGGTGTGTTAGCTCGAGCGTGAGTGTGGCCCGTTCCTGAGCCTCCTCGTCGCCACGGCTGGATGTGCCTCGAAAGTCTAATCAGAACGCGCCCCGGCAGACAGGGGAGTGGTCTGGAGATCGATGTCTGACCCCCGACCATCGAATCACTGACCCGGGTCAGACCAAGACGTGTTGCGAAACGGGCTGCGTCAGCGCAGGGTCGAAGTCGAAGCGGATCGGCCGCGCCAAGATGCACCACTACGCCGAGCAAGTATCGGGGCATATCTGATTGCCGGGACAGCGGAAAGCGAATCGTGTCGGGACGGGCGAAGCCGATACCAAATCGGATCGATCGAACCCCCAGGCCTTCGACGTCTTCTTCGAGTTCTTCTCACGACGTGGGCCCCGGACCTCTGGACCCCATCCCTCGGACGGGTGGTTCGCGCCCTGGGCCGCATCTTGACGGCCCTGTGGCCGAGAAAGGGATTAGGTCGGGCATGTCCTCCTGAAGGCGATTTCTGGCAGAGAAATGGAAATAGCCCAAAAATATTCAAACATTGACAAACATCATAGGAAAATCGTCCCCAGACTATTGTTTGACTAAATTTTGAGTATGCCTCCTGAAGAGGGACACGCCCGTCTTATAACCCAAAGCTCAAGAGGCCCAAAGCTTGGGAAAAAAACAAGAAGGTCGTGGCACAGCCGAAGCCGTGGCCACGGGGGGAAAGCGCGGGTCGGGCAGGCGGGACCCGTCGCCGATGAGCCCAGGGGCCTCGCGGAGGTGCCCGAAACGGAGACAGCCCTCCAGAAAGGGAAGCCCCAACATGACGACCTACCAGGCCTCCTCCTCCTCCTCCTCCACCTCCTCCTCATCCTCCCCTCCTCCTCCTCCCCAACCCAACCCGAAGACCCGAATCTCGGGTTGGGGGGGGAACGGGTTCTGCCTGTGGTTTTCTTCCATGTCTCCCGACGCACCCCCTTACCGGGGATGGAGGGCAAGTGGCGGTCTTCGGGTCAGGCTGGGATGGCTTGGTGGGTGGTGACAAGACGCGTGACTGCGATGCAACATCACACCGTTTTTTGAACACCCACAGTCGACGTTTCATTCTTATAAGAATAGCAATAATAATAATGTTAATGATAATACGGGAAAATAGCAATACTAATCATACTCATAAACATAATCATACTCATGATCGAAAGAATAAAAATAATAATAAGAATGATGGAAGTAATGACAATATTGAAAACAATCAGAATAGCAACGACACTAATAATAATAATAACAATAATAATAATGATGAGAATAACAATAACAATAAGGACAGTGCTAATAATACTCCTAAATATAATGATAATGCAACTACGCGTCACCAAAAAATAATGTTACGCCTCAGGGGGGGAAGCCCCTGGGCGCAAAGGGCACCAGGGGGGCACCCCCTCCGGAGCCAGGGCTGCGCGCTCGGGAGAGCCTCGCCGCCGACGGCAAAGACTCTCAAACGCTGCCGGTCCTGCGAGCGCGAGCGGGACCTGCTTGACACGCCCGGGAGGGGGACGAAGACTAGGAGGACGGCAGCAGGGCTGGACGCAAACGCTGTTGTTCGTTTCGTTCTCGTTTTGTGCTTCGTTTTGTTCTGCCTGCTTTCCAATACCTCCCTGCCAAAACGCGAAGCAAAACACAGCCAAAGTCCAGCAAAGCAGTGTTTAGGTCCAGCCCTGTACGGCAGGTTCGTGTCGTGACCCCGGCGTTCGTTTCTGACACCGCGCGGATCGTTCAACCTTGAGCGAGCGGCGCCTTTCCGATTGCCCGATCGTTCCATATATACGCCGACTCTGGGCCACTGGCGGCGTTTCAACTTGAACGCCCGCGGCGATGTCGCCGCCTGTCGACACGACGCGAACCTACCGTACGATGCCCAACAGCAGTCACTGTCCATGTGAAACAAGAGTTGCCGTCCGTCGGAACCTGAGGACAGCGAGCCCTGCGCAGTTGGACCACGGGTGCTGTGACATGGACAAGAACTGTTGTAAAGATCATTGGACGTGTCGCCTGATGGGCCTCGGAGGACAGCAACCCCTTGTTCCAAATGCACAGGCTCTGCTGTTCGGCATCGTACACATACAGTCGACCCGTATCGTAAAGATGCGCGATAAGGATGCAAGGGCCTTGGGCGCCCACGTCGAAGCTTCTCGAGCGGGACGCGGCCAGCAAAAGTGGCCAAGGCTAGATGGGCCGAGGAGGCAGTGACGAGGGTACCCTTCGGAAGGCTGCCCATCCTTGTGATGTGGGCGATGTGGGCTGACTGTGCTCTTCGTCCCCGTTCTGGGCGCGCAGACCTGTGGCCCCTCAGCTCCGGCGAGCACCCGAAGGTGAAGTCCGCGCTGCGCTCGGCGGCCTCCTCGGGCGCGGCCTCGGGCGCGGCGCTCGGGAGGTCCATGGCGGAGGCGCGCGCGCGCTGCCACGAGGCGGCTCGAGGCCGGAGCGGCTGAGGCCGAAGGGGGGAGACGGGGAAGGGCCGACGTCCTCGAGGCAGCTCCCAACCCTCCTCCGGTGGAGCACCTGTTTTGAGTAGAGCACCGCTCGCGCGTCCCCTCCTCCTCCTCCTCCTCCTCCTCCTCCTCCTCCTCCTCCTCCTCCTCCTCCACAAGTACACACTATGAATATCACTCTCCCCTCTCTCCCCTGGAGACGTCCGGAAGATATTCGGCCCCCATCCGCGCACTGCTTTTTAACGCACAGGATTCCTGGGAGTTTGGTTTTCGCTGAGTTGTTTTCCAAATGTTGCTCCCGCTGCAGCGCTGGCCTCATTTCCGGGCTTCCGCTCGTTGCGAATCGTGTTCCAGCTGCAGCGCTGGCCTCGTTTCCGCGCTTCCGCTCGTTCCGAATCGTGCTCCCGCTGCAGCGCTGGCCTCATTTCCACGCTTCCACTCGTTCCGAATCGTGCTCCCGCTGCAGCGCTGGCGTTATAATTTCCAGTGCCATGCCACCGCATACAATGCAATGCTGTGTGGTGCTCCGCCGTGCGATGCCGTGCCTTCAGCTGCAATGCCAGGATATGCAGTGCTTGACCACGCAGTGCCACGCCATTATATGCCATGCTACGCTTTGATATTCAACGCCATGCTATGCCATGTTCTGTTCTGTGCCCCTGTGCGATGCAATTATTTGCGTTGCATTGCTTTGTGATGCAATTCTTCACTACGCAACGCCAGGACATACTGGGGCATGCTACGCTCTGCCGTGCTCTTCTACGCCCTGCTATGCCGTGCTCTACGATGCATCGCGCACCCTCTCGGGATCATTGCCCTGCTCGACATCCGACTGTGCGAATGGAGGGGACATCTACGCCATGGTAAGGGATGGGAGGGAGGGGCAGGATGTCAGATATGACGCGAGCGCACCTAGCTTGTCATTCTCCTCCTCCTCCTCCTCCTCCTCCTCCTCCTCCTCCTCCTCCTCCTCATCCACCTCCTCTTCCCCTGGAGGCTCCTCTCCCCAACCAGCCTCGATCTCATCCCCATCCCTCAGATCGACCTGCCCAAATGCGATGACAAAGTAAGGGATGCGCCCTCAGAAACTCAAAGCATCCTTAGGATCGGCATCGAGATCGGGTGGTGCCAGTCATATGGGGTAGGGATCTGTTCCATGCTGGTAACTTTAGGTCGGGCATGTCTTCCTACAGGCGGAACTTGGAAGACAAAGAAAAAAGGTAGTCCCAAAATTAAAATGGCACGAAAAATTGCCCCCTGTGACTATTTCTGACAATTCTCAAGTACTCCTCCTGTAGAGGGACACGCCCGCCTTAATGGTACTCCCCCCTCCTCGGGGCGGACGGAGAGGGGGGGCCAGCAGAGGGCGGGCCAACGAGTCGGCCGCACGCTGCCGGTGTGCCCAGCACCTCCCAGCGCCGCGTGGTGGGGCCGAGACCTGCCAGATGCACCAAATTCTGCACCACCCCCCTGTCCCAATCGCCATCCCCGCTCTTCTCCAGCCCGCTCCTCCACCTCGTGGAGCTGCAGAGGAGGAGAAGGAGGAGGAGCAGGAGCAGGAGGAGGGGGAGGAGGAAGAGTTCGAGGAGTTGGAGGAGGAGGAGGAGGAGGAGGAGGGATGCTGTACTGCTGCAGACGGTGGGGCTCGCGCGCGCGCACGCAATCGCGCGCCTGCAGGAGTATGACCAAAAGGAAAGACTTTCCTATGTCGAATTCGTCGACTGCCTGGCGGCGGGGCGCGGGGAGCGGCCTGGGAGCACCTCTCCTCCCTCGGCCACGCAGGACCGCGGACCGAAGCTTGGCATTGTCGTGACCCCCCTCCAGAGCCTCCGGAGGCCTTCGGGGACCTCCAGGGCCCTCTGGACCCCACGCTATCGGCCGAAGGTTAGAAGTCCTCGAAGCCTCCTCCTCCTCCTCCTCCTCCTCCTCCTCCTCCTCCTCCTCCTCCTGCTTGGGTCATTAGGTCCTTGACGCACCACGTTCCGCTGCTGCAACGTGGTACGCACGGCACCTGAAAGGGTTCGCCCACGCAAAGGTGGGAAAGACTTCCCAGACGAGACTTTAGAGGAGGGATCTGTACCTCCTCTCAACAGGCCGAGAGACTTACGCACATCTCTGCTCCGAGGTTCGCCACGGCATGCCTCGGAAAAGAGCTAAATTCCTCAGTGCCGCTTTTTCGCACAGACTGCACAAAATCCGACGTCCACCTCCGCAATGGGACGCACAGAGACATACTAATACTGTATGCCCTCCTTGGAGGTGCGCTTCCGACCCGAACATATAGTATACCCATCTTGTAGTACATCGTCTCCCGAGCGGTGTGGTCAGAAAGCGCCCGCCACGACGCGTATACTACAAGATTTCTCTGTGCGAGCGTCGCCCCTGGGGGGGGGGGCCACGCACATAGAGTATAACTATGTTGGGGTGACGCCGACGCAGCACAGACGGAGCGATGTGCGGGCCAGGCGAGCGGGCATGGGCAAGCCAGAGGCGCAGACGGCGCCTCTCGACTAATCTCGAAGTCCACATCTGGCGCAGGCCTTCTCTTCCTCCTCTTCCCTCCCCCTATTCCTCCGCGTCCTCACGGACTCGCGCTGGGACCCGAGACCCGAATGGCAGGCTGGTCAAGGCGCTGGACAATCCCTGAGCGGCCCCGCGCGTCACTCACTTGCTGCGAGTCCTGCGCGTCACCAACTTGTTGCGAATGCACCTCCTCCGCGTCCTCCCCAGAACTCTGCATGTCCGTGGCTCACGGCGTAAGTGCGAAGCCAAGAATTCCTCTCTGCTCCCACGTCTGTTCGTCTCCAACAGGGGCCACAGCTTACACCGCATAGGTTACCTCACGTACCTTGCATATCCAAAGTGCAATAACTCACTGTTTGGGGTCCACGCTGGCAAACATATCTACGCACCGATCTCACTGTCAACCGATCGGTATCACTCCCATTGTCTCGTTATCACTCTTTATCGGCCCCACAAAAGACATGACAACCATCAGAAACCACGGCACAACCAGGTGACAGCCACAAAACAACCACTGGAAAAAGACACCAGACAACCACGAACCAACCACATGACAACCACGAGACAGCCACAGGACGACAGCTGGACAATCTCAATCTAGAGGTATCACTGTCTGTCCAGCGGCCCCACTGCCAAACAAGTGGTTGATGTCACGGTGCATATATACATATGTGATTGAACGACCTACCGCTCCCACTAACAATATATCGGTTCCACGATCCATAGATCGGTCGGTCTGACTGTGTTGTATCAATAAGGCCACCTTCTGGTGATACGGAGCTTGGAGAATGGGTGCAGCTTTTTTGGCTTGCGATTGGCGCCAGGCAAACTATCAACCGAGCCCGAGATCCATGTCATATGCAAGGGTGTTCCGATATCCCTATCTACCGATTGATCACACTACCATACTACGGAGGTTGGAGAATGGGTGCAGCTTTTTCGGCTTGCGAGTGGCGCCAGGCAAACGATCAGCCGATCCCGATATCAATGTCATATACAAGGGTGTACCGATATCCCTATCTACCGATTGATCCCACTACCTTACTGTCGATCGACATGTCGTTCGATCTAACTATATATCTTTCGATCTAGCTGATCATCGATCTCACTCTCTATCCAACGACCCCCGCATGGACCTCTGCATCGATCGCAATCTCAATCGATGTAACTACCGATTGTTCTAACCACGGGGCGACCAACAAAAACAACCGCGGGACAACCGCGGGACAAACACAGACCTACCACGGAAAAACTACAACACTATCACAAAACAAGCGCGGGGCAAACACGGAATAACTCTGGGACAACCCCGTGACAACCAGGACAACCACAAGACAACCACAAGACTGCCACGGGACAACGGGTGGACAACCTCTAAACAGCCACAGACCACCCACAGGACAACCACGGGCCAACCACCAGGACAACCGCGCGACAACCGCGGGGGCCACCGCCCGACTGGGGGGGGGGGGGGGGGGCAGTATAATGACAACCTGCCCTAACAAAGCAGGGATCGAAGGCGAGGGCGTGAGATCGCAGTCAGGCGGAGAGCCCCCCACCCAGAAGTTGGTTTCGGTTCGTGTCGCGCGTGTGGGCCAGGCGAAGCTGCGTTGGCGGGCGAGAGGAAGGAACCCTCCTCTGGCTAGGGCGCCGCTGGGGCAGAAGTCCGCCCCCCCTGGTTGTGGCCCGTGGTGTCCCGTGGCGCGGTGTCCTGTGGTGTCCCCTGGTGTCCCGTAAGGTCGACAGTGAGATCGATATTGAGAGCGAAAGTGAGATCGAAAGTGAGATCGATGGTGAGATCGACTGTGAGATCGGTAGCGAGATCGATTGTGAGATCGATTGTGGGATCGATCGTGAGATTGATAGTGAGACCGATAGTGAGACCGATTGTGAGACGGATGGTGAGATCGATATTGAGATCATTGTGAGGGGGATAGAGAAATCGATTATGTGATTGATAGTGAGATCGACTGTGAAATCGATGGTGGTATCGATCGGGTGAGATCGATTGTGACAGCGATAGTGAGCTCGATCGTGGCATCGATTGGAGACGTTGGTTCCTCTCGTCCCTGAGGTTGGTCGTATGGGTATGCCTCGCCCTCGCGCAGCTTCGCCTCGCCTTCACGCACGTCGCGCACGACACGAAACGATACAGATTTCCAGGTGGGGGGACCCGTTTCACGTCGACCTCGCCCTCCAAAACCTCCGATCGATCGATAGAACGATGTATCGGTCTCACAATCCCCGCATCTTTCGATCTCACGATCTATCTTTCTATCCAACTACCTACAGATCGGTCTGAGTACCTACCAGTCTCATTGGGAAGCACACAGGCAATCAAAGGACAACCACAGGCCAACAGCGGGGCAACCACGGGACAACCACGGGACAACGGCGCGACAACCACCGGACAACACGTTGTACAACCACGCGACAACACCGGGACAACCATCGGGGCAACCATCGGCGCAACCATCGGGACAACCGCCGGACAACCACACGGACAAGCCTGGGACAACCCGGGACAAATCTGGGGACAAACTCTCGCAGCCTCTCGCCCTCTCGCAGCTTTGCCTCGCCCGCACGCATGTCACGCTCGACACGAAAGAAATTCGAAATCGATTTCTTGGTCGGGGGCCTGTGTTTCACTCAAACCTCTAAATAATCAACGGGACACCGACAAGCCAAGCGCTCCATGCAGTCGCAGGCACTACATCCAGGAAAAGGCGCCTTGACTGGAAGGCACCAGCTGCGCGCGATTACACGTCGACGGAACGCGTTATAGCTTTTGAGAGCCGTTGCCCAAAGGTGCCTATAGTCAAGATGCGGGCTGTGAGTCCATCACGTCAGGCTCCTGGACAGCCTCCCTCGCTCAAATACAAGAGCGGAATTGGGAAGCATGCACCCCTCCCCCGCGAGCCTTGCCGATCAGCCAGGGCAACGGCATTGCGAAAAGGATATTGTTGCACTGCACCTGCGCGGGTAGATGCGCCCAGTCCCGCCCTCCATCCTCCTCCTGAGCCCATCCGTGCTGACGGGGTGCCGAAAAAATCAACGCAGCCTTGGCGAGGCAGGGAAAGTGCGGATGGGCAAGCGTGGAGAAACCACTGGCACATGAGACGACAAGGCGCAAGGCATGATTGGAGCGGATGGCAGATCAGTGACACGATGCACCGCAAGGCACAGGGACGGTGGCACGAGATGAGAGAGCCCCCCTGCCGAAGCGGCACCTGGTAAACAGATGCCTCAATTACGCGGGAGGAGGTCAGGGCGATGTTGATGATGCCTGCGGTGCCCCGGCTTCATCAGCTAACACGCTTCCCCAGCCTCCTCCCCGACGGAGCGAGATAGCGAGGGAGCGAGGGAGGGGGGAGAGGGGAACGGGGCCAAACTAGATGCGTTCGCGCCATATCTGACATCCTATCCCTCCCTCCCATCCCGTCCTGTTGCGTTCATTTGTCTGTATCCGCGAACGTGTGTCATAGCCGACCTGGAACTCCACAAACGACCACATCGTGTCAATCCCACCAGCCCTTCAGGGCATGAATGGTTTAGGGAGGTTCCTCTTCCAACCCCCCTTGTTCCCCTTCGAGGAGGGGTTTACCTCCCCCTACCCCGTCCCCAGGGACCTGGACGGGGGGAGGGGGTCGCGACCAGTTAGAGCGTTCAAGATGGCCTCGGCGTGAAAGCCTAAATCACTGAGTTTACAAAAGATTTGGCCACATGTTGGCCTCCTGGGGCGGGGACCCCAATGTACTACGGCCTATCCTTTTAATCGATCTCCTCCTAGACGGCCCCAAGATTGCCCCGAGGCTCCCAAGGGTGTCCCGAAGACGGCACCAAGAGGTACCCAGGAGGCCACAAGAGGCCCACAAGTAGCCCTCAGAAGGCCCCCCAAAAGGCTCCCAAGAGACCCCCAAGACGCCCCAAGGGGCCCCCCTGAGGTACCCATGACGCCCCAAGCGGCCTCGGCGTGAAGGCCAAAATCGCTTATGTTACTACGGTGTTAGCCACATGATGGCCGTCTGAGGGGGGCCCTAATGTAATACGGTCCCGCATTGCATCGATCTCCTCCTAGATGGCCCCAAGATGGCCCCCGAGACTCCCAAGGGTGCCCCAAGAGGGCCCCAAGAGGTGGACAAGAGGCCCCAAGAGGCACCCCCAAGAGGCACCCCCAAGAGGCCCCCAAGATGCTCCCAGGAGGGTCCGAAGAAACCCCCAAGAGGCCCCAAGAGGCCGCCCAGGGGCATCTAAAACGCTCCTAGAAGCCTCGGCGAGGAAGCCAAGATCACTGATGGTACACAGGTGTTCGCCACATGTTGGCCTCCTGGGGAGGGGACCCTAAGTAAGGAGTCCCCCTCCTTTGATCGATCTCCTCCTTGATGGCCTGAAGGTATCCCCCGAGGCTTCCAAGGGCTTCCCAAGACGGCCTCAAGAGGTGCCCAGAAGGCCTCAAGAGGCCCCCACGATGCCCTCCACGATGCCCCCAAGAGGCTGCCAAGAGACACCCAAGAGGCTCCAAGAGGCCCCCAAGAGGCACCCAAGACGCCTCAAGAGGCCCCCAGGACTACCAAGAGACCCCCAAGACGCCCCAAGAGGACTCCAAGAAAAACTCGAAGGAAATTCGAAGAGAGTGCGAGAGGCATCCAAGAAGTCTCTGGCCGCTCTGCTCGCCCTCCTCCTCCTCATTCTGTCCTCGTCCGCCCGTTTCTTCTCCTGCCTCCTCCCTCCACAATTAAACAATATGAATACTACTCTACCTCATCCACTGAAGTTGTCCATAAGATCCCCCGCCACCTCCGCTTGCTGTTTCCTGTGCACACCGGATTTCTGGATTTCAAACATTGCTTTGCCGTACTGCGTTTTGCAATCCAATTGTTTCCGGTGTTTCGAACTGATGGTCCCGCTGCAACGTGGGCCACATTTTCGGATCGGCTCGTTGCTCCCGTCGTTCAAAATGGCTCTCTCGCCCCAACGCGGGCCGCTTTTCTGGATCAGAGATTGCTTCATTGTGGTCCCCCTCATCATTTCCCCTCATCCGCCTTCCCATGGTCCTCTTGTTCCTCCCGCTCCTTCCACTCCAGTTCCTGCCTCTGCTGCTGCTCGTCTCGCCCCAGCGCGGGCAACTTTTCTGAATCCGAATCTTTCTTCATCGCTGTCGCCCCCCTCCTTTCCACTCCTCCGCCTGCCCCTGGTCCTCCTTTCCCCCCCGATCCGTCCGCTTTAGTTCCTGCTGCTGCTATTCGTCCTCCTCCTTTTCCTCCCGCTTATCATCCTGCTCACCCGTCACCTCCTCCTCCTCCTCCTCCTCCTCCTCCTCCTCCTCCTCCTCCTCCTCCTCCTCCTCCTCCTCCTGTGCACGCGGCCCCCCTTTTTTCCAATTGCGCATATTTCGAAGTGGGCTTTCTGTGTGAGTCGCAGGTCGGTTATAACACGCGTCCGCGGATAGAGAACGGTCAGCGCCATGGGAAGGGATGGGAGAGAGGGATAGGATGTCAGATGAGGCGCGAGCGCACCTAGCTTATCCCCTCCCCCTCTACCTCCTCCTCCTCCTCCTCCTCCTCCTCCTCCTCCTCCTCCTCATCATCATCATCATCATCATCAATCATCATCATCATCATCATCATCATCATCGTCATCATCATCAGCATCATAACAATCATCATCATCAGCAATCATCATCATCATCATCATCATCATCATCACCATCATCATCAGCAGCATCATCATCAACATCATCCTTCTCCTCCAGCTCCTTCTCCTCCAGCTCCTCCTCCTCCTCCTCCTCCTCCTCCTCCTCCTCCTCCTCCTCCTGCGGTTCCTCATGATTCCTCCTCCATCCTTCCCCTCTCGGGCCATTCTCCTCTGCATCCCTGATCAGGGCTACTCGTCTGGGCCTCGTTTCCTAGGTGGGCTGGTGGGGCCACAGTGCTGGCACGGCCGCAAGAAACTCTCGCAAGAAACCCGGCCCTGAAGCCCGCGGGCGCGAGATGCAAGTGGGTGGCCCAGAGCACCCTGAGCGCAACAGTGCCTTCCAGGGCCACGGGACGGCACCGCGCAGCACGCGGAACGAAGCGACCCAGGGTACCCTGACGAAGAGCATTCAATGTCTCGATGCGCGCCCCCCCTGTACTTTTTTCCTCGCGAGCGACGCAGGCAGCTGCGCGCCGTCAAAACAGGTCGTGAATAAGGGTCAAGCACAGCGCAACTGTCGCCGGCGACGCGCGGGAAAAATGACAAGCGAAGCACACCAGCGACGCGGAGGCGGGAGCGAACGAGGACAACAGAGGAAGAGAGCGAAAGAAGCGAGGGCAGCGTCCCCACTGTACGCGAAGCGTCTCGAATCATGCGCAGTTGAAAAAGGGAATCGCATGGGACCTGTGCGACCTGGCAGGCCTCTGTGGCCTGTGGGGCCTGTGAGACCTGTGGGAGGTGTCGCGACCTCTGAATCGGCGACCTCTGTGGTTATGAGATTCGAGGCTGGATAGACCAGGAGATCCTCGATTCTGGCAAAGCAATGAAAAGTAAACGTTGCGTATGACACGATAGCACGAGGGTAAAAAAAGTGCGGATCGAAAGAACGAGTCATGCGAGGCCCACGAAATGAAAATGCGAAATATGTGCAACGCGGAAGCACGTGTACGAAAAAAGTACGACAACACATCCAAAGTACAACAAAAGTGGGGAACACGTCTGCACAAGTTACCAGGCACACCGACCGATCCCAGGGGCAGGAAGACGCATGCACCAGGACTCAGGAGGAGCATCAGACGAGGACCTGGCGCCGGTAGCCCAGGGGTCACCCCTGACCAGGCTGCCCAGTGCGACCACACTGGGACAGGCGCACCCCGCACTGGGGCAACGCTGGCAAGCCAGCCCCCAGTGCCACACGGGGTACGGGCTACCAATGCCACCATGGTGCACGGGCAGGAGCCCACCATGGTCACCAGCACTGGCCCCGTGCTGCTGGTAGGCCCCCGCAGCCGCACTGCACCAACAGCACCACAGGCCCAGGGCACACCCTGCCCAACACGTGGGCGCGCCTGCAGACGACCACACAACTCCTGGTGTCACCACACTGGGACCACCTCACCCCGCACTGTGGCAACGCTGGCACGCCAGCCCACAGAGCTACACAGGGTACAGGGTACCAACGCCACCGCGGTGCACGGGCTAACGCCCACCACGGTCACGAGCAACGGCTCCGTGCTGCCGGCAGGCACGCGCGGCCGCACTGCACCAACAGCAGAACAGGTCCAGGGCTCACCCTGCCCAACACGAGTTGGGCACACCTGTCAATTACCTTTCAACTCAAGTGCCGCTCCGGGGTGGGAGCGGAGGGGACCGGAATCCGCGGCACTCGAGCCCAAAAGGCAACAGGATGTTCCTCTGCTACCCAGCCCCCTCAACTGCTGCGGAAGCCATCTCGGACACTCTTGCTTCACGACCTCAACTGTTGCGGAAGCCACCACGGACACCCTTGCTTCACGACATGTCACTGCTGCGGAAGCCATCAGAATTTGTGTCAATGGAAATCTTGACGCAAACAGGGTCCGAAGAATCTGTGTCAATGGAAGATCTTGACGCAAACAGCCCAGGCTTACTCCTTTAGTCTTTTTACGCATTCTGGGGCACCTGAAAGAACCGCATCACCAGCAGTGTAAGTGGCCAGAGTCACGTGCTTCCGCCAGCTCCCGCCGAGACCCCACGCTTCCGCCAGCTCCCGCCGAGACCCCTCCACCAGCACGCGCCCCCCAAGACCCTGGGAACTGCGAGCAGTTCGTCGGCCGTCGGCCTTACAACTTGTGCCTCACGCACAACCTACGGTTTTGCGTGCACAACAAAAAAACAAGTGCGAAAAACTGTGCAAAAGTGCGAAGTTCAAAAAGAGCGTGACACGTATCAAAAAAGCGTGTAATGTGTGAACGAAGTACGGAGAGACAAAAATATGATAATGTATCTCGAGCTAGTGTGTCGTAGTGGTTTCACACTTCGGATTTCTGAGCTTCTGTACTTCGTTCTTCTGCACGGCACGTTTCTCGAACTCGTACTTCGTCGTTGCCTTCTTCCTATTGCAATTGGGATATTGTGCGTTCCTCTTGGGAGGGTCTGGTGTAGCTGGCCAGAATATGTCAACTCTGTGGCCTGTGGGGCCCATATCGTACCATGTCTGGCCCAATGGCACCACGGTCATGGCGGGACCCTTTGCCACGTGTGCCGACGTCGTGGTCGCAGAGGTCGACGTGGCAGAGGTCGACGTGGCTGTGGCCGTTGCCGTGGTCGTAGAGGCGCCTGTCGTGGAGAATGAGCCTGAGCAAATGTATTTCCAGGAGACGGACGTCTGCGTGGCAGAGCCAATCCCTCGGAGAACAAAACCATGTTCAAGTCGACCTCGCAGACGCAACTGGATGTAAACGAATCCGCCACGCCGAAATTGACCGTATTTACTCCGTTCAATCCGACGTAAAGCATCGCGGAGCCGCAGCATTCCGTGGAGTCCATCGCATCTCAGAGACCCACGTCGTAGCAGGAGATGCGTGGATCCAAATATCAATAGACTTCAGTCAGCCGGCGTTCCTCCTGAACCTCCTCATGCGGTGGCCCTACCAATGTCACACCCGTCGGACACAGCCATCCGCGACTGGCGTCGAGCTCTGGGTGGCGTGACCTGCCCCGCAAATCAGTCCGCACCAAAGCCGCCTCGTCAGGTAAGGTAGCGGAGGAGCGCGTGGTCTCCCACATTCGTGTTGCCGTCCTCTCGTAACGCCCATGGTGATACATGTATGCCGAAACCCGATGGGACCCAACACCCCCATGTGATGGGCACGCTGGCTTCAGCAGCAAGCGCGGCTCGGTGGCCGCTCGCGCCGCCGTCGCGGAGGCAGCGGTGGCGTTGTGTGGCAGCGGCTCCTGCTGCGACGCTTGTGCATCAGCAGCATCATGATCATCATGATCAGCATCATCATCATCATCATCATCATCATCATCAGCAGCAGCATCATCATCATCATCATCGTCATCATCATCATCATCATCATCAGCAGCATCATCATCATCATCATCATCGTCATCATCATCATCACCAGCAGCAGCATCATCAGCATCATAATCATCATCATCATCATCATCATCATCATCATCATCATCGTCATCGTCATCGTCATCATCATCATCATCACCATCATAATCACCATCAGCATCATCATCAGCATCAGCATCATCATCCTCCACCTCGTCGTCGTCATCATCAACATAATCAGCAACAACCGCATCGTCATCATAGTCCACCTCCTCCTCCTCCTCCTCCTCTTTGTCGTCGTTGCCGTCGACCTCCTCACTATCATTATCAACAACATCAGCATCCATCAGCATCGTCATCAGCACCATCATCATCAGCCGCAGCAACATCAGCATCATCGCAATCATCAGCAGCATCATCACCATCATTATCATCACAGATCATCACCATCATCACATCAGCATCAGCATCACCAGCATCAACATCATCATGTTGATCATCATCATCATCAGCAGCATCATCATCAACAACATCAGCATCATAATCATGATCATCATCAGAATTAGCATCATCATCATCAATCACATATTCTCCTTCATCGTCATCATCATCATTATCCTCCTCCTCCTCCTCCTCCACATCCCCGCGTCGCGAAAAGAATGCGACGGAAAATTGATTCTGGCAACCTCCACCCTCTGGGGGCCCTCACTGGGTCCCGGAGCCGTCAACAAAAATCGGGGATCGACTGACCCAGGTCACTCCAAGCCCAAGTCAGTCAGGTCGTGCAAGATCCTGCAAACTCCTGCAAGATCCTGCACCCAAAACCAGGTCGGTGCACCCCCGGCCCTGCAGGATCTTGCAAGAGCCGGCGCTCTACCTGACCCCCCGTTTGCACTGACTCCCGTCTCTGGAGCCCCGAGAAAAGCAGCCCAGGACAAAGCCCTGGTCCCAGGGAAGACGCCCTGACCTCTGAGGAGCCAGGCAGCTAAACAAAAGATCGCGACTTCGGAGGACTGGGTCGCGGCCCCCGCCCGCGCGGCTGCCTTACTTCCGGAGAGGGCCGAGAATAGGATCAAGGAAGGCATACCTTAAGAAATCTGGGCCGACTCCCCAGTTCCTCCTCCTCCTCCTCCTGCTTCTCCTCCTGCTCCTGCTCCTCCTCCTTCCTCCTCCTCCTCCTCCTCCCCCTGCTTCTCCTCCTTCCTCCTCCTCCTCCTCCTCCTCCTCCTCCTCATCCTCCTCCTGCTCCTCCTCCACCTCGAGACACTTGAAGCAAACCTGGGCCAACCTCTGTGGTGAACGCTGGGGGGGGGGGGGGGGGCGAACGTGCTCAAGAAACTGGGCCAACCTCCTGGCAAACCGGTTGAACGAAAACGCTGGCCCAGCTTTCCGGGAGGAGGCCTACTTCGGGGAGACGTAAGACTGGGGTTCGGGAGACTCGGGTGGGCCTGACGGGGCCATCATGAAAACGACGAGACCCAGTCTGAAATTTGATGCAAGCTTCCGCTATAAACATCCCACGAAAACTGGACCGTCAAAACCCAGGACGTGCTCGTCAAAATGCGCCGGCTACGCGTAGGAGTGGCCCTGGGCTAGAGTGACCTTTGGGGCGCGGTTTCAGGGGCGCCCGTGGGGGCCCAACGCCATCGCGCAAGCCGGCGTTGCCGCGCCGCATCAAGGATCGGCGGGGCGCCACCCGAAAGATTTGTTGTGCCAGCGGGCAACCTCGGAATTCCGCCGATTGAAGTCGAGCGCCCCGAATGGCACTTCGAAGGCGCTGCGAAAGCAGACGCTGCTGGGGGGCACCGCGAGGAGGTCTGGCACTGCCGGGCTACATCGCGATGACATCTGACCAAGCCCGGCGTCATGACCCAAACCGGCCCCATCCGAGAGCCTAGAATATGTTGAATATCTTTGGGCAACTTATAACAGTAAAGATCCCCATTGATTCGAAAAAACAGATTCAAACAAATACTCACAGATATCCAAAGATAGTCAAGCCAGACGTTTTCGGATTCGGGCTGGAATTCGGGATTGGTCCTGGACCGGAAAACGCGCCGTCTGGTCGACCTGCTCCCACCAGGGTAACCAGTGTAAACTGTAGGGTGCGACGCGTATGCGTTGCTGTCGATTGCAAGGGGTGGGCCCGAACCTGGCGCGCTCAGATGCGAGCGCAATCGCGCGATGCGGGTGCCGACGCGAGGTCGAGCTCATTCCAAAAGAAAGATCACCCGAACCCCTCTGGGCCAGCACCATAGGTCACTCCGGCGAAGGGTCACTCTTACGTGTAGTCGAAAGCGTCGGCAAACCCGAGTCCCAGCGTACTCGAGTCTTACGTTTCCCCGATTATTAATCAGATGCTCGACTGCAGATCCACAGCTCCAGGACTCCGCAAGACACGCTGGGCCCCCGATGCTCGGACTCCTCGACGGAGGCGACATGCTGGGGCCAGCCACAGCGCAAACCCGCCCCCGGCCTTCCCGGAGGGCGCCCAGGACAGCTGCGCCCTTGCGCGCGTGCGCGCGCGCCCCGCTCGCGGGATGCGAGGACCGCTCCTCGCCCCCCGACGCCCAGGACATCTGCGCCCTCCCGTGCGTGCACGCGCGCCCCGCTCGCGGGATGCGAAGACCGCTCCTCGCCCCCCGCCTTGGGCCGCAGGGTACACGCCGCCGGCGGCGACGAAGCAGACGAAGAGGTTCGGCCAGAACAGGAACTCCTCCCGCCCGAGCAGAGCGAGGGCGGGGGCAGGGGGGGGAGGGAGGGCGTTATTCCAACGGAGCACGCCCTCTGGCAAGCCGCACGCATCTCACACAACAACTGGCACAGCGAATCTAATCGCATTGCCATCATATCGCGAGACACAGCCTGGACGAGGACAAAGGAGGACGAGACCGACGGGGAGGGAGGAAGAGACGGGAGAGAAGAACAACGCGCTGTGTGTGGGCATCCCGATAGAGCTGCCAGCCATTTGTGCAATACACACGTCGGGAGCCAGGAGCTCAACTCCGAAACGATAGCAAAAACGCACGATCGCTCTGGACTCGGGCAGGGGAGAGGGAGAAGAGACGAGGGGGGAATCGGGAAAAGAGGAGGGGCAGAAGGTACCGTGCACAGTCTTCCGTGCTGAAGCAACTGCCTTGGCTGGGCCTCTAGAGAGAAGCCCAAGCTATTCTCACCCAGAAAATGCGAAGGGGGAGGGGGGAGGAGAGGAGGAAGGAAAGAAGGGAGGAAGAAGAGGAGGAATAAGATGAGGAACAAGAGGAGGGCGATGACATCGACGAGCAGGAGGTCCAAAGAGCAGAAGGCTGACGAAGAGAAAGAAGCTGACAACGACGAAATCGACGAGCAGGAGGTCCGAAGAGAAAGAGGAGGAGGAGGAGAAGGGGAAGGAGGAGGAGGAGGAGGAGGAGGAGGGGCGGAAGAGGGGGAGGAGGAGGAGGTCGACCAGCAGGAGGTCCGAAAGGCAGGAGGAGAAGGAGGGACGAGGAGAGGGAGGACGAGGAGGAGGAGGAGGAGGAGGGAGGAGGAGGAGGAGGAAAGCAGGAGGAGGAGGAGGTGGAGGAGAAGGAGGGGGGGGGAAGCGGATGAGAAGAAGGGGCTCGAGGAATGGAGGCAGGGGGCACGCGGGCAGGGGCGGAAAGGCAGGAGAAGCGAGGAGGGAGGGGAGAGCCCCAAGGGCCGCTGGCGAGCGCCCCGCCCTCCGGCGCGAGGGGCAGCGCCACCGCCAGGACCGACGCGATCATCGTCGTGCACGCCAGGAACGCGAGGGTCTTGCGGTGTTGCGTCCAGCGGTCTGGCCTGGCGGGGGGGCCAGCAAAAAGGGGGGGCATGCATCATGGCCCGAACCTGCGCGCGGACTTGGGGGAGCGGCCACGAGAGATGCTAAAAGAAGAAGCCGAGGGGAGCAACGACATCTGGGAGACGTCAAGGCCCTGACGATGATGTATACGCGCGCACGCACGCACGCACGCGCGCGCGCACGCACGCGTGCACGCACGCACGCATTCACACACACACACACACACACACACACGCACACACACACACACACACACGCACACACACACACACTCTCTCTCACACATACTTCTGGGTTGTCTCGCACGGGCGCAGCGCCACGCCGTCCAGCCCGCGCGCGGAGAACCGCGCGCGTGCCCACTGGGCAGAGAGAAGGAAGAAAACGGAGAGGCGGCCGGCCACTCGCGGGGCAGTGGCCGGGAGCGGCGCGGGAGCGCAGGGGCAGCGGGCAGCGAGCAGGGGCCGGGGCGGCAGCGGGAGGGGCGGGGCTGCGGCCGCAGCGCGGGCGCAGGGCACACACACACACACACACAAACACACACACACACACACACACACACACACACACACGTTTCTGGTCAAGAATGTTTGCTGAGCGAGTCGCGGCGTCAGCCCTGGCGACACGATATGTCTTGCGAGCGGATAGCGTGTCGCTCCGCACCGTCGGGCGGGAGGCGCGGAAAGATTCAGGACTTTGACGAGTGGGGATTGAGTGGTGGATAGCGTGTCGCGCCGAAGCGTGGTGGGCCAGACCCGGCGGAATCAATCCAGCCGACCGTAGTCCTCAATCCCCTTCTTGGACGCCTCCGTTCGGAAGCGAGGCCCCTCCTCATCCTGCTCTTTCTCCTCCACCTACTCCCCCCCACAGTGCGGATGCTCCTACGAAAGGCTCTGTTTTGGAATGTTCCCACCAGCACAGATCTACGACCAGCTTCGAATGGCTTCCAGAACTACTGGATCAGGGGACAGCTGGAACAGCGCCAGCACAGCGATTCATCACGTTATTTCTGTCATCGTCGCTGCAGACACGCATTGAGAGGCGGGCGCGAACGAGCCGTTTTGGTCCTGCATTGTGGACGTATCACTTGTTACCACTGGTCTGGTCGACTGCTGGAACTGTTGAATGGCCCCATCCATCGTCAGTGCTAAGACGTGTCCCTTGTTCAGGATCGTGGACAGAAGTTCTTTGTTTGAACTCCTGTGCAGTCGAACGCGATCTTCTGCCGGGCATGGAGCTGCTCCAATATAGCCGATACACGATCCTGCTAACGCGCCAGCGCCATAAGACCGATTTTACAGTGACCAACCGCGAACATCACCTTAACCGATGCCATTTGCAAACCGTCCTGTTGTAGCTGCTGCTTCCCGATTATGCTATACCTCAACGCCGAACCTACTTCTTGGTCGCAACGCTGTCTGCCGCCCCGCGCAATCGAACCGGCAAGCCGGGCTACGGGAGCGCAAATCGAGCAACGGAGGCGAAAGCAAAAAGAGAAACGCCGAGCCGACACGACCACGCCAAACTGGTTGCTCCCGACTGTCTGGCGACTCGTGTCGACGTGAGCCGAACTTTTTGTGGGCTGGCGGCCGCGAGGAGCCAAAGGACGTGCGAACGACGGCGGGATGCCACCGAGGCCTTTTGGGGCACGGCGTGACAGGGGGAGGCTCGCGCGGGGCGCCAGGGGGGGAGGGCCAGGGGAGGGCCCAGACGGGAGCCACGCGCAGGTCATGCAAACCTTCGCGTGCGCGCCGAGGTGCGACGAGAGACGAGCACGCGGCCCTCGCCGCATGATGTGACTACGGCGGCGTCCGTCTGGATGAGCCCGCTGGTGTAGCAGGAGCTGAGGTCCCTATAGGGCCACTGCGACCGGCTTGTGGTCATTATGGTCGTTGTCGCGGCCCTCGCTGGAAGTGTCGTCGCGGCCTTCCGCCCCCAGCTCGGCCTGCACCACCACGCCTGGCAGCGGGGGCCCGTGCGCCGCCAGAGCAAGTCCACGTCCACGGCCGCGGTGCCGCGCCCCCCCTTGGGGCTCGGAGGCCCGCCCACAGCGGGCAAGCGGAGGTCCACGCCCACCACTCCTCGAGATGCCAGGGCACGACTCCGGAGCGGTGGGTGTGGGCTAGAGGTCTTGGGAGGGAACTACTGAAAGGTCTTCGTCGGAACGAAGGCGAATCAAGCCCCATTGGGGGGCTGCTGCGTCGGATTGGACCGCGGATGAAGCGGGAGTAAATCAAATTAAACGGGGGCAAGCCAGATTCAGCGGGACAAAGCCGGAATTAGCCAGATTTCGGACCAGGGCAAAATCATAACTCTACCTCCCAGGAATTGAATCCGAATGGAGGAGCAAAACAGCGTAAACATAAACTTGTGGCGCTCCGCGCGGATTTCTTGATCTGCGCTGGAGCCCTCCCCTGGCGCGCGGAGCTCGCCAGGGGCAACGCCGGAGACGCCGCCAGGGGGGGGCCAGCGCGGGGCGCGCGGGCAGCCACCGCAAGCCGCTCCAAGCGGCACGGGCTCGCCCGGTGCGGCAGAGGGCGGCGAGGGGGGGAGCCCTCGCCCCCGCGGATGCCCGCGAAGCCGCTTTGCCCCTGGTCTCGGCCAGACCCAGCGACAGCTCAGGCCGCGGCGCGTTCCGACGGCGTCGGCGCGCTACTCGTGAGGCGGGGCGCCGATGTCCTCCTCCCCGTCCCCCTCTCCTCCTCTGTGTGCTCTGCTTGCTTGTACTTCCCCTCTCCCTCCTCCTCCTCCTCTTCCTGCTCCTCCTCCTCCTCCTCCTCCTCCTCCTCCTCCTCCTCCTCCTCCTCCTCCTCCTCCTCCTCCTCCTCCTCCTCCTCCCC